TCGAAGAGCATCGGGGGAATATATTATTTACCAGTTTTACCACCGCTAGCTTTATTTTATTCGAATCTATAAAATTCACGAGTTTTTCGACATTTGTTGGCAACTTCCGCGCTAAAAATGGATGAAAATGTGGGTGTGGTTCTCTCGCAAAGTTCTGTTGGAACTTTGGTTCTGTGTGGTTCTGTAACCCAGGTCGTGCCCCGATCAAGTGACTCTCAGCCAATCAATGATGTTGTAACAAAGCATATTTGATGCAAATTGAGGGTCGTCGTACCATCCAATCTCCGGCGTCGATTAACTTAGTTTTTTGTGCTGTGACAGGCTTCACAATTATTCACTGAAAAACATCGGCATATTTTGACAAACGGATGGGATTTGACCTCAGTTCAAAAAAAAAAAAAAGAAAAAAAACAGAGCTGAGATACAAATCAGTTTTGCAAGTTGGTAAATAAGGTAAACCAGACTGAGGTTGACGATTTTCAGTATCGAAGGACTTCCGTGTGAATCATGATTTTCAAATTGTTCATCGGCTGGTCACCAAATATTTACGGCTACAACTAAATGGACACGTTTTTTTCTGAAGACCAATAAATTATTTCTGCATGTCAAGCGCTATTCGATTTTTTTTACAGGGCATGTGGTTTTTATTTGAAAATATTTTTTGTGAGAATACTTTTAAAGTACGTATAGATCGAGCCGAGTCAGGTCACTGATCGTGACTTAATTTTGAAAATTGGATGTCAAATTTTACGAGACCGACGCCATCACAACCATCCAATCATAGTTGGAAATGTACGCACTTGTTTTGGAACTTTGTATCAAGATGACTGGCGACAACGCCGACACACGGCCATGGGATCGGTTCTCTTACCAGAAAATAAAATGAGCGAAAAAAAGATAATTTTATAACAAGATCAGTTTCATTTCGTATATAGCAAATTTTTTTGTATCCGAACGACGATTTCATCGTGTGATTTAAATTTATCACAATTTCCTTACAGTCAATACGACACTCGTCACCTTGCCGATTGTAATGTACTTCACAAAGTTTTTGGTGCCCAATACTCACAACACTAAAATAATTCAACAAGATATCTTTTTAGTAAAATGTCATTTTACTCATGTCACAATACTTTGAAGCTGATGCCATGTCGATGCCATGAGACTGCGAATCTGAGGCCACGATGATGCCACAAAATAAGCGAGGCGAGCACAGCTTTAATTTTCAATGACGCGAAGCTGATGCCACAAAAGCCAAAGTTTTCGCGAGAACTGTACTGTATGCTGGTTTACTAAACGCTTGCGTATGGAAAATGGTAAACAATCTTGTCTGCTAGCAATATCCTGCTTTATGGTCCCAGTGGTGGCGCCATTTCGGCAACACTTGTAATGGCCCAATTCAGCCAATTCATGTTCTATATGTTCAAATTTGGATTTGACTGCGTCACACAAACCGTTTTAGTCAATATTTTCTGCCTTATTAAAAACATTGAAAACAAATATTAGAAGTGGTTTGATAAATTAAATAGCCCTCATTACCGAGTCATAAAAACGAAACCGATGTGAGCTTCTATCACATGTCATTTGGTAAATGCAGTTGATACGTGAAACGAACATAGTAAACATAACATTTCAGACATTTGAACTGCATAATCAAAATCTGTCTTTGTCGTCGAGAGCGTCCAGCTCGACGACTTTTTAAAGACCCACTAGAAGCGACAATGAACTACATCCAACATGCCAGTATCAGCGCATGGGTGTTATGCGATAGAGGAATGCTTTAAACGAAGCAAGAAGAAATACCAGTCTGAACAAGGATACTGACAACTTGAAATATTTTCTCAAACAAAGCTTAACAATACACCTATTTAAATATGTCATTTATTATGATTCCGGTACGCGTAAATCTTACATTAAATAAAACAAAAAATTAAACACTTACAACAAAATTATTTGTTGAAAAAAAATCTCTAGTTCAAGTAGCGCTACCTTTGTTAAAAATGCGATTTTATTGGTTGAAAATCAAATGTTTAAAAATCCTCTGGATCTACGAAAATTAATTTGGACAGCGCCACCATCGGCAGGATTTTCTGCTCATAATTTAAAACGAGGCTTCAAAATGGCGGGCGTCATATCTTGATTGGGCTTCGAAACCGGTGAAAAATAACAGAGATTTTAAACAAATTATAAGATTTTGGCATTTATGAAGGATTCCCAGGAAAGTATGGTTGTTCAAGAGCCAGTACAGGTAAGTGATAATGGGTAAAAAATATTGTTTTCACGACAACAGCCTTGCATACCTAAAGGTTGTCGTTGACATTTTTGTGTTGGTTTCAAAAACTCAGAGTCAATCTAATTTCGTCGTCGTCGTCAATATCAAAATCAAATATTATGTGTTTATTGATTTAAATTGAAAATTTCGCATTATATGTATGGATGTCCGCGTTTTCACTGAAACAACGACTGGACACTGCTTACCACTTAAATTGGATGGATGTTAGTGACACTGTTTTGTTGTGTTCATTCAGACACAGTCTACTCAGCTGTAGTGGGCGACGGAAATAATAACTGCTCTAGCGACAAAGGATAGCTGTATCATAATGAGATTATTCCAGTACATACACTTGATAATTAAATATTGTGAGTGAAATAATACTGCTTACACCTGCGATGTTAAATTCTTATGATAACATACGTCTTGTGTTTCCCCCATTTTATCTACTAGGCTGCTATATGGCATTGTTTAAACCACTATGCCTACGAAGACGCTATTTTCCTTGCTGAGAGATTATTTGCCGAAGGTAAGATGCTAGTTTTCTGTTGAATGAACCATATGTTGATCATGTTAACAGTGAAATTTTTTCAAGGTGACTAATTACATTTTTTAAGTAAAAAACCACAGCATTATAGTTTGACCCACTCCCGCCACGTCCATTTTTTGCCGAGAATTTGTTTATTACTACCATAAGAATAAGTTGTTTATTAGTGTACACATCTTTCTGTGAATGAGTACATGAATGGGGCACGTATAGCACCTGTCTTTATGTCATTTGCATATATCCTAAAACAAGCGATAACATGTGTATGTAATGTGTTTGTTTTGTACGTATTTGTTAAAAATTAACATTTTTGAGTAGAGCGTGTGTATTTCTCCAATAATACTACTTTACTATGCTACACTATCTCGGCTTCTGCTTACCATTTACCAGTGGAATTATGTTTAGTAGATTTGGATATGATGGCTAATTGTAATTTTCAAATGATGAAATTTCTTAGGGATATGGCCATCATTTAACAAAATATACATTTTTTAGATTTCGGAGACAGTAAATTAGTTCCGCCTACCTCTTTTGAAATATTCCATGAAAAGGTTACTTTTGCTAATGAGGTTGATTGAAACAAAATTTGCCTGTGAAAAAAACAAAACTACAATCACAGAAAAATTGACACACTTGCAGTGTCATTGCCACAAATGAATTTTTGAAACATTACAGGATTGTTGACAATAATTGTAATCATACATTAAACTTAGAGCCTTTGCTGTAGCAATGTTGTGAGATGCAACAATTCTGGAAATTATTTCTGAATTTGTGGAAACAAATGAACTCTGAACATTTTGATCTAGAGGTTATGGATATCATAGCTAATTGTAAATCTCTGTATTATTATTATTATTATTATTATTATTTAGAGGACTTATCATGCACATATTCTCCTAAAATGAACTCTATGCGCATTACATAATGTAAAAGACTATCAATAAAAATCACAAGAGATATAAAAAAGAAAAACAAATTAAATCTAGTAAAATTGACTACAGTGATATGTTTTTAGTGCCCTCTTAAATGATGAATGTGAGACTGAATGGAAATGGTATTTATGTAGAAGATATGACAGGTGTCATGGGCCGGTGTTTCTTATTGATAAGTAGCACAAACTTGAAATTTTATATTCAATGCGTCTGTTAACTAGAAGCCAGTGAAGCGATTTTAAAAGTGGTGAAATGTGAGAAGATAAACCTCGCTTGCAGACAAGACAAGCTGCTGGATTCTGAACTCGTTGAAGTTTCTTTATCAAATAATCATATGACTAATAAGCTATTGCAATAGTCAAGACGAAATATTACACGCAAGATTCACCAAACAGTGATATTTTTCTGAACAAAGTCAGAATGACTGTGAAATACATTGCCATTAATCATAATGTTAAAACAAGTTTATAAGCACAAGGAGAAAAGCTATTTTTATACTACAATATGTGATAGTGTATTATAAATTTGTTGTGTTTTTTTTTTTTTTGAATAAAAAGGCTGTTTCAGTACACTGAGATAGGTAAATTAAACCAAAATAATATATTGTTTAATACATATATAAAGTGTGTGTTATAGTAGCTTCTTGTTATTAAAGTATGAATGTTTTTATATAAAATATTTATGTATGTTTTGTAAATTTTAAATGATGATATGAAAATAACTTGACTGATCACAGCAGCGTCTCAGCAGATGCTTACCACTCAAAATTAGGTACCGGGGGTATATATTCATTTATAAATAAACTAATATAAAAAAATATTCATTATATAACTAATTTCCAGGACATCATAATTATTGTTTAGTGTGTTAATTAATACGAATAGAATAGTGAAAGAAAATGTTACATTTCAATTTTGCCTGTAATATTCGAAAATTTAAATTTCACTGTTTTCCTGAACAAGATAACAGAGGTAATATTACCTCATACCCAGACTGATGCAGAAGCTGCAGTATGTAGTGTATTTTTGTTATTTTTACAATTCATACATTCTTATAAAAATAAACATGTGTTTGATTACAGTTGGGTCTGATGAAGCCTTGTTTTTACTAGCAACATGCTATTACCGAGCAGGACGACCTATAAACACTTACTGGTTGTTGCAGTCCAAGGGATGTAGAACACCCCAATGTAAATTTTTACTTGCACGCTGTTGCTTAGATCTTGAAAAGTGAGTATTGATTATGACTTAGAGTCAGTAGCTGAAACTATATAATATTTTTGATGCTATTTAAAACTTGTGCACATCAGATCGTCAGTGGAAATTGACAGTTATTAATTACTTTGACAATAAGTCCAAAGAAAGTAATTCTCATATTCACATAATCCTTCAACCCTGTGCTATAAATGTTATCTATAGTCTAGACTCTGTACAGTGAGAACCATGAACAAACTCTTGGAATACAAGTGTTTCCCACAATTTTTCAGACAAGTTACAGGAAAACGCGTTCGGTTTCATCATTTATGCAATTATTAGCCATGGTTCAGTTTATAGTAAAAAAGAGAGATGTTATATTTTATTTGGTATAGCCGTGGTCCTTTGGTTCGGATAAGGATATTTTTGATGAGATAATTTTGATGGGGAATGATAAAATTCATATTAGGAACACAGGAATTATTTGCTTGCTAACAATTATTAGCAAATATACTGCTGCTCAAAATAGCATTATACATGTATAGGGTTCATACATATGGTTCATAGTATATTTGACTGATTTTCTTGATGAAATTGTTTTGCCAATTTTCTTCAAGTACATTTACAAACTCTTGATATAACGATGAACTGAAATCTTGTGTTTTAAATTATTTTAACATTATTTAGAAAGCATTGTCTCAGATACTGAAGTATGCTATTTTAATTTTATCATTATAGATTGTCTGAAGGAGAGACCTGTTTAGCGGGTAATGTTTTTAATAAATCCAAATCAAATGATGACATCATAAGTGAATTTGCCGACTCAGCGGGTTTTGTATTCTCTATGTTGGGAGATATATTTAGGTATGTATATCAATATCCATCATTATTATTCTGTGTATTTGTTTTTGAGAGACACAGTTTATACAGATAAAGCTGTTGAACATAAAGCTAAATTCCTCACTGTCAGTTGTTGACGACTGCAATTACTTGAGTCAGGAAACTGTATCTGCTATTCATATTAATAGGTTAAAAGCTGGCGAATGGGCTGTAGACCCAACGAGACATGTATTAATATTAATATCATATTAAATAATATCACCTTATTGTTCCTTCTGCTTGCAAAAACAAATTATTACTCCATCAGCATTTTATGTGACATACTGTAAAGGGGGTAATTATTCACTGGGTTTTAATTTAGCTTATTTCGCTGACTGGAAAAATGCGCTAAATTAAAACCCAGTGAATATGTAAAATTTAGCATAGAACACATTATCTAAATGACGAAACCGTGAATTTAAAACCCACTGAATATGCCCGAAATGGTAAATCAGTGAAATTTAAACCCAGTGAAAATTAGTCATTTTACAGTACTGGAGAATCTGTGCTAGTCTCAACACTCTTAGTGGATGATTATTGTCTCAAAATTATTATTATTAGTATTATTAAATACATGTTAAATACAATTAATAAGTAACCGTATGTTTGTGAAATATTAGTCACAAAATATAAAGATACCTTAGACTAAAAATGTTTTGTAATTCCTCTTCCTGTAAGGTATTCCATCGACGTGTTTCAACAGAATTTAACGTTTTCACCATCAGTTCCCTCCTTTCATCACAAACTCACAAAAGAGTCCCATTTATACTCTGCACTTTCTTTCAGAAGATTGGAACAAAAATAGCCAATTTTTGGAGTAAAAACTGAAAATTGACAAAAATTTTGTCTGTTGGTTCCAAAAATATTTGGAAATATTTCCAGAAATATTGAAGAATATAAGAAAAAAAGGGTGGACAAATTTTAGCGAGAAAGTCTGGTGGTGGAAAGGTTATTACAGCAATGATAATACATTACATCATTCACATGTATGTATTCTAATTGTAATCTTACCTTTCCAAATTTGACCAATGTTTCATTTTATTTAAATTAGCCATTCAATAAATGTTGTGCAAGCTTGTATAACACTTGTATGTGTGATCTATATCCAAAGTTATTGTGTTGCATTCGTTTACATTTCCACACCATTGCCAGTATTAGTCAACACTATTTGATTCACCACCACCACTGCTGATAATTATTATTCACAGCATTGGAAGACAAAATCACTACGTCCACCTAGGAATCTTGTTGATATAATTGTGTGTATTGTTTTTTGTAGCCATACTGAAAGGTTTTCCAAAGGAACTGAATATTATAAAAAAAGTTTAAAATGTAATCCATTTCTCTGGTCCTGTTACCAATCTCTGTGTGACTTAGGTAAGTCCTCTCACTGAGTATGTGTTTTTGGGTATTGGTATAAACTTTTTCTTCCTGAATTAGCTTTTTTTAATCCATTTTTTTTTTTTAGAATTGCAAACACTTTTTGGTTATTTTAAAGATTGTTTTCTGTCATAGACACCTTTAATAAAGTATACTGAAATTGTAGAACCCTTCGCAGATGTTTTTGGTAAAAAAAACAACAAATGTTTCACCTCTCAACCCTGAGACAATGTTTTACTGAGCTATATGTATGCATAAGGCCAGGAAAATTCTCTGTTTCTCGTTTCATGGAAATTTCAAAATAAGGCGGCGAGGCGATTTTTTTTTTTTGAATACTGAGCTAAATAGGGGGAAATTTGAGACAAGTGCAAGTACAAGCTCATTTTGGAATGCTTTGGAAGGAAAAAAACGTCTGAGGCGCA